TATTTTAATTTTATTTTACATTTTTAGTACATTTTTCAAATATGTAAATTGTTTTTCTTGTTTTAAGCAGTGTTGTTACTGTTAACTAAAACTTAAACTTTTAGAATTAAGAATAAAGCTAAACTAAAATTATCAATAAGTATTTATTGGCAACTAACTAAAATAAAACAAGTTTAAGTTACTAAAATTAAAACAAAAAAACAAGTAAATAAATAAATATAAATATATTTTAAAAAAAATTAAATGATAAAAATGACGAGCACAAAACTACCAGAAATTATTAGGTAAATGAAATGTATTTTGTTTAGACTTTTTGTTAACCAAGACAAGGCAAAACAAAAAACTGACTGAAAATAATTTTGGATTTTTTTAATGTTTTTCTTAGCTGACCCTTAATTGATTCCATTAGGATTTTTTTTTAGGGAAAAATAGAATATCCCAATAGCAATACTTTAGATTGACTTAGTATACTGTATCAAACACCTGTAATGGTGTGAAATCATGTGATCTTTGTGTTAGATATTTCAGACATCCACTCCGTGGCCTCCGATCATTCCAACCGATCCCACGAGCGGAAGAGAAGCAGCCGGTCTCGATCCCCGGACCGCCGCTCAGAGCCCTCGGACCACTCCAGACACTCTCCACCGCAGATCAGCAATGGCAGGTCCGAAACCTTTTCGGTTTTTATTACTTTTCACTCAAGATGTTAGTACTAGTGCTGGGCAAGTTAACGCGTTATTATCACGTTAACGCATTTATTAATTAATGCCGACAATTTTTTTTATCGCGCGTTAACGCAGTTTTTTTATTATTATTATTATTTTGAAAGTCCGTTGCTCACTGGCTCTGAATACACATAGGCCTACAGTCAAACCATGATCACAGGAGGGGTGGGATGTTGGTCAGCCAGCAAATAACCCACCCAAACAAGCAGTGGAGAGGCTTTGGCAGGTTCTCTCAGGTGAACAGAAAGGGAGACAGCGCTCCGCGAGTGAATGACAGGCACTCTATGGATAGTAACCATGGCAACGGCTTCTGTGCGCTACGCAGCTGTAGCCTTTTTAACTCAAATTAAAATTATACATAACTTTACCTGATAGGCCTGCGTTTAGTTTAGCGGGGATGCTCTGCCATGTGAATGTCCTCCTGTTGATGTCCTGATATCTATTTAGATTCTGGAAACTCACAAACAGCGAGCCGAGGATCAGTCTCTCTTCCAATGATTTGTGCTGCGCGTCGTGTACAAAAAGTTAGATAATTCAACTTCGGCAACGCGCGGGCGCGTGCGTGAGGCGAGCATGACCGCAACAGTTTCACAGGAACGCACCCGCTTGTCGCTGCACCTGTGCTCGACCACTTCACCTAGCTCACTCTAGGCTGATTTATACTTCTGCGTCGGACCTACGCCGGAGCCTCTACGCTATAGACTACGCGTTGGTTTTCATTTATATAGCTGCGTCGTTGTCCGCGTTGACGCGCAATTACACATTTCCATAAGTGTGAAACCTGGGGAGCGGTTCTAGCAATCACAGCGCTTGCGGTACGCGTAGAATTGACGTTACATTTTTGGAGAGATGCACGTCAGGGTACGCGCGCTATACAGCTACGGCTTGAGTTCGACGCAGAAGTATAAATTGGGCTTTACCTCTGTTTAATGTAATATTATGTGGGAAACCATGGCATGCCATGACCAAACCTAAGCTGCTATCAGAGAAGTAACGTTGGTCGACTTATATCTGTAGTGATCATGACCCTTTGACTACATAGACTGTTTCTGCTGCTCCCTGATACAAGATACCTGTTCAGAAAAAACTAAAAACAAGAAAACTGGACTCGTTTTAACAAGCTAGATAAAAAGTAATGCCCTGGCAGTGGCAAATAGCTTTGTTTAAATATTTGATTTGATTACATTAATGTTTAAGTTGAGATTTACAAGAAATATTTTATTGATACTGTGTAAGGGAATACTGCTGGTATAAAAGCACCTTATTTGTTTAAAGTTTTTGCAAACCACATGTTATTGCACTTTTGTAGCAGTACATTTAAATCAAATGTGCGCAATACACTACTTTAGAATTCATTATTCAACTTTGCGCGTAACAATACGATTAATCGCGATTAATCGCAAGAAAATCATGCGATTAATCGCGATTAATTTTTTTTATCGTTGCCCAGCACTAGTTAGTACAAATGAAATCAGCGGTCTGATTCACCTGGCGTAAATGTACTACGCTTTGGAGCCAAATCATCCCCAAATAGTCTCTTTTGGCTCTCTTTCCCCCCTCCTTATTAAAGTCTTCCTGTTTTTATAAGATTCAACAGATTGAACTTTAAGAGCTGAAGTTTCAGGCCTGCTCACCGCTGATATGAGAACAGGCATATGAGAAAAGGTTCTGTCAGACGGTACTGCAGCTCTTGACAAAACGCTCCTGTAAATTGGATGTGTCCTAGATAGATAAACCAGGGTGTGACAGCGGTAGAGGATGAGAGGAATTTCATCTCCCTGCAAATGTGCCATCCTCCTAAATGAAACCTTAAATTTAAAGGTGAAGTGTGTTATTTTTTTGATGGTAATATGCTTTCAAACACTTGAAAGCATCAGCAGGTCATTTGTAGGTTGACTGTAGGTTGACACTATGAAAGTATGCTCTGTTTGGGTTTTTAGAGAAGGCTCCAACTGGTGGGCTGGCTTTTGTTTAAGAAGAAGAAATTACACACTTCACACAAGCCAGAATTGACCACACACATGTTTACAGACCTTCAGGTTTGTAGGTGTTCATGAAGTTTCTTCTGATTCTTGTTTTGAATCAGGGCCGCAGGGCCGACGACTCAGAGAACCCGGCCAGTGTAAGTTTATGGGTCCGGTTAACGCAAGCGTCCCGAACATAGCTAACCAAACTAACGCTTTTGTGAGCTTTGCACTAAAGCATGTGACGGGGCCGTGATGTAACCAAACGTGTGTGTGGTATGCTGAAAATTTATGTGAACTACTTGACATGTTCATTTCATCATTCCAACGTCACAACCCTGGCTAAGGCAATGAAGCCCAACAAACCAACTTGTGTACAGGGAATTCATTGGCTTGTGTGCCTAATCCCTGCATGCGTCTCTGACATCAAACATATCCCTCCATTCATTCTCATTTATTCAATTTTAAAGAACTGGTCTCAGCTGTTACCCCTTTCCTGATGAGCAAAGACGAGTATAGGGGTGTCTGTCGGTAACGTACAAATACACACGTTCTCCAAAGGGCTGCTGCTGTCAGTTTCGCAGTGTAGGCGAAAACATGCTGCTTTTAACATCATTTGTAGTAGTAGTTTTCTGCCTTAGAGAGTTCTTGGTATTACAGGCACATCTGCTCTGCCAACCATCCTTGAAAGTCGTCCAATTGGATTGAAGCACCACCTGCACCATGTGCGTAGACACACAAATTTGGAATCGGTGAAGACAAAGGCAGCTGAAAGCTTAGTAGTTGTTGCTTTGTAAACTTTTTCTGATCAGAACATCCCTGAATTCCTGGTTTGAGAACCAACAGGTTTAACTCTCTGGGGTCGGCGGTCTCGCCGGCGATACCAGCTCACTTTTTTCCTTATCAGTGCAAAAGAGACTCAAATTACTCTGTTAATTTTGATCTTACATATAAGTGTTGTACATCATTAGATCCTGTTAAGTTTCTATTTTTTTTGTGGATACTCACAATAAAAACAAAGTGTTGTGCTTTTCACCAAATAAAGAAAAACAAACATGATGCGAGTTTTGCGTTCTCTCTGTCAGTGAAGTCCATTCTGAAACGCGTCCTAAGATTAACTGTAACTCCGCGATTACTTGTCACACAGGCACGAGAGGTTTTTCTTTATGAAGCTTGAATTCTCTTCTTTTAAATGAAGTAATTTATATAAAAAACAAATATTCTCAGTTTATGCAATCTGTATGAAAAGAGAGTGCTGTCAGTATTTTTTCCCCCAGCTCATTACACTTCATTACGCGTTAATCTGACACGCCCACGGACGACGCGCTCTATTCAAACGCAAATGTCGAGGCAAGCCATGACAACGCCCACATCAGCTGTTCCACCGCGGCGGTAAAATATGTGGTGTATTTGCTGCCTTTTACCGCTAAGAGGCGCTACAATCATAGACTCTGAAAAGTGTTCGTTTATTCCGGTTTATTCTCTCTAATGCGTAATCTGCTGCCGCACCGCGCTGATTCAGAGCGATTGAAAGCTGGTAGCAGAAGAATTCAACAAGTGAAACGTAGTTAAAATAATTCATAATCACAATACTGAAATTAGGCTACTGAAATGTAATTGAATAAATAATGAAAACATTTCAACATAAAACATTGCAATAAAAACATTTAGGCTACATGAACGAGGCTTTACAACTTTAACAGCGTACAGACGATAGCTCAGTGATCAACGCAACGACACGAGCTTCGAGGAGCTTCAACAGACCCGAGATCGAATCTCAATGTAGCATAGATGTTGTTAACCGATGTTGTCCTACGTTTATATTTTCCCACCTTGATGCTTAAATAGGTAACTGTTTATATCTGTTTACTTATTTAAAGTCAAGAGTTTTGTTTGATTATCATTACAACATAAATTTGCTACATTCCTGTAGAACCGCAGCCGCTGCACAAACGACAAAAACTGATGAAGATTGTCAGCCGATCAGAAAATGAAAATGAAGAAGCTCGTCTTTAGTCTGCTAAATTATTGTGTAATGTAAAAGAACACTAAAATTACTTAAGTTTGAAACCAAGTTCGAACATTTCAAGGTTTAAATTGTTTAATTTAAAACAGGGTTGCATCTTGTTTAGAGTTTATTTCTTTTGCGATGCAAAATAAGAAACACTAGGCTAATCTTATTCTTGCGACATTTTAAATTTGTATTGCCAAAGAAATTACAGCTAAATTAAACAATTAAAACAGTAGGCCTACAAAACGAAAATTGTCCAAAGAAACATAATTAAATTAAAAACATGCGTTTCTCTTTGCCTCTCTCGCGCTGGATCTCTTTTTAACAAGTTTATTTAGTCTCCCTCGCTGCGCGCGCGGGTCTCTCTCTCGAAATTAATCATTTCAGGGTAAAAACACATCATACAGCTGATAATACTGTATATGTCGCTGCGTGTCAGCCATACAAATCACGAAAAAATTATTTAACCTTTAATTGTTGCTTCAAAGACACAGCATGCCTTGTTGAATTCACCTTACAATAACTTCAATTGAAATTTTGTGTGAAAAAAAAACTTTAAATAGGCTACAATAAATAAACTACAATATTTATAATTTAATAAGATATGGGGCCTACATTTGGACACAGATTTATCCTTACAATAATTTTGCCTGCTCATCAGGCTGGCTATCCGACACTCTCCATATGAAAGAGGAACATTAACACCTTTGTCCAGCAACTGTCCCTCCAACCCCCCACAGGCTATCGGAGTCTGAGGCTGACTTAACACAAAGAGAAGTCGCAATTCACACTTAAATCGCCATTCTAGACAGTGTTGATAATGAAGGAATTAAATGATTTAAGTTACATGTAGCCTAGTGATATTTCTGTCATAAAAGTTTATTACTAAATATTTCATTATTTCAATAATTGATGAAATAAAACTGGTTTGGGGCAGCTTTTTCCAAGCAAAACTAAATATAATCTGAAAAAACGCTTGTGAATTTGTTGTCACTTAATATTAAAGTCTACAGGGATCTTTGGATCCTTACAACCAGGCATGCAATTTGTGAATTAAGTTTTTATTTTATTTTGTATTATTCAAATAAATATCGAAACACGGTGCTTCGTGGTAATGCTGCTAAATTAAATAACATTTATAGAATAATTATGAACTTAAATGAAACAATATCGCAACATTTCGACAAATACATTATTATGTTTTTACATTTTAATTCAGGGCGATTTAGCCTACATTTAATTAGAGCGAGATTTTCACCCATGTCTTGTCATTTTCTCATTGGGAAGCGCATGTTTGAGTAGATCCTCTGTACCTCTCGTTTTCATATGGATTAGCCTACATAATCAGATAACATTTATTAGCCTAAATATTTAGACATTTAAAGGCTTTAGACATAGCCGATTTCTTATCGTGACTGAGCTGAAGTGGCTTTCGGTTCATTTTTGTGACGCGCAGTTCCCGGAGACAGAGAGGACAGATATACTGTTTTTGTCGTTAGCCTAATATGAATACAAGTTTACAGTTTTGAACGATGTAAGCTACTCTACTCTTATCTGTATGACCAAAAAATTACGGAGTCGCCTATTAAGTTATTTTAGCTGTAATAATGAGATAAATAAATTAATCTAAATGAACGCGCCGCCGCGTTTGTCGAACACTAACTCACGATGCCAGAATAAAACCCGACTTTAGAAAAATGCATAGGGTCACTCGGCGTGGTGTGCCAAAACACTTAATTATAAACTTCAATATTTCATTCAAAATAATCTCAACACGCTTTGTGAAATTTTGAAAAGCCGTGCATGCATTAAGGCCACTGGAACTAATGAACAACTGAAACGCTGGTTTTGATTTTATTGTTTTTCGTTTAAACGTGCCTGTTGCATATCTCTATTTTATATATTTGATATTGGTGAAGTAGCCTATAGCATTGATTAGCTGTGGAGGGAGGGGTGTGGGGATTAAAATAATTCAGCAGAAGTAGGGATGTTTAGACCAGAAGGAAATCCCAGTCCCCCCTGGCAAATCACACTTTACTTAAAACCATGTTTTTAAAAACTCTAGGTTGTAGGGAACAGACCTCTCTGCCATGCGCGCGCACGGTTTGGAGCACAATATCTGTCTCGCATGCACGCTCGCTCTAAATAGATTACGGGATATTTTAACTAATTTACGGTATAACTAGTCGATCACGAGTGGCTCAACAGGTAGATCTATAGATAAACTATATCTTTCAGGAATTTGACCGACCGGGTTGACACTTCAGCGTGAGAAATCGGGGGGGTGGCGTGAGAGCCTGGAATAAATAAATAAAAAAATATATATAGCCTATATAAAACAAAACTGTATGGTGTAACAGAGTTTTAGAGCTAGACAAATCTCTCTGCAATAATAAATATAAAATATACAGCAGACCATGTTTGTGCGGGATTTGAACCTGTGTCATCTTGATGATGAACCATCAGTTCTACCGCTCGGCTATGAATTTTGTTACTGAGAAATAACCAAACGTTTGATTCTCACATGAGCGAGAAAACGTTTTGTCTTTAGCCTGTGAGTGTAGGCCTACTTTAACCTTTTACAGTTTTAAAAGATTATATCTTATCTGTATGACCAACAATTTGTTGTAGGCTTATTTGGAAATTACCATAACTTGTAGTATTTCATCCTTAGGCTACTGTTAATAGACATTAGCCCCACTTACGTTTTGCTAAATGTCCCTTTGCGCCACCTGGCGGTCATTTCGCGTACGACTTTGAAATGCGACTGGTTTATTTTTACCGCGGTGGATGGCTAAAAATGGTATGTGGATGGCTAAAATGTGTGACTAAAAATGTGCTTTTGGCTTTCATTTATATTTTGATTGTTTGTATATATATATATATATATATATATATAATGAGCCTTTCATTCAGGGGTGTCACACAAGAAAGAATGCAAGGACAATATATATATATATATAAATAAATAAATATTTATATACACACACACACACACACACACACACACACACATATATATATATATATATATATATGTGTGTGTGTGTGTGTGTGTGTGTGTGTGTGTATATAAATATTTATTTATTTATATATATATATTGTCCTTGCATTCTTTCTTGTGTGACACCCCTGAATGAAAGGCTCATTAGTATGCAGTCTGCTCAGGTGAGAACTGCCTAATTATTCATGAGGGGGTTGGGCCGATCCGCCCATCCGCATATTGCCTTTGCAAACAAAAAAATGTTTTTCACAATTTAAAACAATCTATTGTTTTATGTGAATGATTAGCCAGAATGATTTTCAGATCAATTTGAAGCAAATACTCTAGGCGACAACATCCACTAGTCAAAAGTCTTGTGGACAGATATTTAGTATGTTATTTGTGGCCATATATTAGAAAATTTATTTTTTAGTTTTTTCAATAACCACGCATAAACAATATTCTCTCAAAAATACAAACATGTACATACATGTTGCTCACATATAATGGTAGCCCTGTGTGTGCTATATAGAGTGTAATTTCACCTGTGCCATTAATATGTTTATAAGCAACTGAAAAATGCACAAATGTCAGAGCATGCCAAAACATCTCAAGGACCCCGAAAACACCTCAGACCCCAGAGGGTTAATGGATGGAACCGTTGAGGAGTCAATTTTTGTTTTATCCGAGAACCACCTTTTTTGGGGGGGTGACACCATGTTGGCGAAAAGGTTTCCTAATATGTTTATTAGGAAAAAGTAATAAAAATATGTATAAATAAAACATTTAACTAATAAAATATGTTCTATGAATGTTTTATGACATTCCCCTTAAGTTATTAAAATATTACTCTGAACAGTAATCAGTTCTCTGAAAAAAGTTTTTTTTTCTCAGTGATTGGAATATTAAAGAAATGGTTCACTTCAAAATGAAATTTCAGTCATCTTTTACTCACCCTCAAACCTGTATGAATTTCTTTATTCTGCTGAACACAAAGAAAGATATTTTGAAGAATGTCGGTAACCAGTCAGTTGATGGACCCCATTGACTTCCATAGTATTGGATGGGGTCCATCAACTGACTGTTTACCGATATTCTTCAAAATATCTTTCTTTGTACTTGTAGTTCATTTTATTGATTATAATAACTGTGAAGAGCCTTTAAAGGTATAGTGCATTATGCCATACACTTATCCTCAATCAGCCAAGGCTTTGTTTTTATTGAGCCACACCGTTGCTGGGAAAGATATTCGTCATTGTCATGAATAAAACAGGACCACATGTGGCGGCCCGGCCCTGCAGAGATGGAGAGTTTCTGCAATCCGTAGATGTCGCCCGCTGTTGTTTACCGTGACAATAAAGGTCACGGGCAGGACCCGTCATCTTTGGCCATGTGCCGATTTTTGGAGTGCCTCCATGGCGGTGGTGCACCTGGAGTCCTTTTCTCTTTGTCGTCTCTTTCTCTCTCTCTCTCTCTCGCTCTCTCTCTCCTCCATTACTCCAGATCAGATGGTCTGCGCTAAATATAGTCCAACAAAGGAGCTGCAAAACACAGCTGTGACCTTCAAGACTACCTCGCTGCCCTAGCCACACAACGTCCTCCCTCTCTCCCCATCTACCTCGCTCTCATCTGCCATTTGTCTTTCAGTGTAAACAGTGTTTTATGGGTTGTGTGCTTAGGCTCGATAGTGTGGAAAAAGCGGCGTTGTTTTTTGGTTGTCCTGCTGAGAGCAGAGCATGCATTAATCATCAAAAGCTTTAACCGAACAGCACAAAGCTCATCTCATTCCACACTGTACCGTATATATTCCGTGTCTTGGTTTACAGGTGTGTTGTTGATGTGCTTTCACTCACGGCCTGAAACATACTCTACCAAGTGCATGAACGCAAACACTTTGCATTCTCAGCGTTGCCACAAGGGGCGCTATAGTGGACATTCGCGTAAAGTGTCAGTTCTTTTAAGTCAACTACTGTCATAGTGGAGCAGCAATTTAAGAATCTTGTTGAGCAAGTTTGTAAAGTAAGTTCAATGCTTGACCTCTGGTTTTAATAGCACAGATATATGAGGGTAACTCTATCGCCGGCTGGAGTACTGAGGTCGGTTACCGCCACAACGCGAGATTGCGTGTTAAAGTACTTCATTGATATACCGATATCGATTTAGTTTGCCAAGCGTTCACATCTGCGTTTGGGTACTTGTGTCGAGAATGTTTGTGGCCTTTGGAGAAAATGTGTTTAGCAATTTGAAATGTTGCATTTGAGCGCATTTTATTTAGACTGTTTATTTAGACTGTTTCAATAAAAAGTATTTCCAGACATTAGGCATTT